TACTCATGGATTTATAGATCACTCTCAAGCATTAGGTCATACCAGGAACAAATTTGTTACACAGTAAACTGCTTTACTTTAGTTCATAAATCCTATTATTAAAGATTTGATAGCAAATAACCATTTCTTCCATTACTACAAAACATAGGAAAACGTAGGAATGTTAATATTATGGTAAATTCCAGCAATAAACACTGAATATTGCATTATTTTGAAATTCCTGAATCCTACGGTAACTAAAGTGTTTGGGAAGTGAAAAGAAGAGGGACAGTGATATGAGATTGGCAAGATAAATCTCTAGAAGATTGGGTAGAACCCATTATAATCTGCCTAAGAGGACCTAACAAAAAATAAAAAGTAGGAATAATGACCAATTTTCTCTATAGAGGGAAGAGGTAGAGACCCTCAAGGGTCTCTACCTGGGATTAGTGCATTTTAACTTTTTCATAACTGTCTTGTCTTGGAGATAAGAGGTGAACTGGCTATGTTTGCAGATTATACTAAACTACTCATGGTAGTAAAATAAAAAGTGATTGTGAAGAGCTCTAGAAAGATCACTTTAAACTGGATGAATGCTCAACTAAATAGCAAATGTGGTTTTACTTAAGTGTAAAGCGATGCACATTGGGAAAACTTCACATATATTCCATGCTAGGGATCATTAGGAATAGACAAGGTGGGGCAGAGAGGAACTCTCTTAGGCTTTCAAGATTTTGATCTAAGCCTTGTTGACATCAACCCTCTAATCCAAAGAAAATAAAGTAGCACACAACTTAGAATGGTAACAGTGACACATACAGATCAATTTCAGTATGAAAGAGTATCATGTTTACGTAGAGCATCAATCTCTCCATTTAAAATTTGACTTTTAGTTGAATAGTTTTTTATTTGCATTTCAATATACATTTATACATACATATCTTTATTATGGTAATTGACCAGAATACAACGATCAATAGCAGATGGAACAATATAGAACACTTCCTGAGTTCTTCATTAATGCAGTCAAAGTATGTCTACTTTTGCAGACAATGTAACAAAATTTGGCCACATTCATAGAAACAGAATCTTACTGATCTGATAATACCAACTCTACATGGAATAAATCAGAGCTGTCTGGGTACTTTATTAATTGGGGAGTGATAAAATGGGTCCCTGCATCCTTATAAAAAAATACAGCATAGCAGGGCATGGACTATGGTTTTGATAGACTTTTCTTCTCAGGGGCACAACCTTTGCTCACATGGAAATGTTTTGTTTCTGCCCTCAAGAACCACCATTTACAGTATGTTGTAAATATCTTGCTGGCCTGAAGAAAGGGGCCTGACTGTTCAGGAAAATATTCCTGGTTAGTGCAAATTGATCCAGTTGGGCTTCTAGATCTCAGGCAATGAGTGCTCAATCATAGCCCATCATTAAAATGCCTCCCTAGAAAAACCACAGTATTGCAGTTTTTGCAGAATTGTCCTATTTCATATTGATTCATAATTGTCCGCAAGGAGAAAAGAACCCAGACTTTCTGAAAAGAAGAATAGCTTCTACCAGTATGCTATAAGAGGAATCCATGTGCCAGTTTCAGTGTTAGTCAGCCCTGCCTCCCTCCTAATACTACATTAGGAACACATAGGGCCATTTGAAATAGAGCCCTTAGGAACCCTGGTGTACCCCTGTCTGGTGAGAAGTGCACCAAGGGTAGGAGTGGAATATCTTATGATGCATTGAGTGCATTTGCTCCTAGGTGATGGCACACTAAGGTTCTTCAACCCCGTGTCTATTAACCCAGTTACATGGTTTCCATTTATGCTAATTTTTTCCAATCCTCTGGATGGATAGTATTTGAGTAGCTTCCATGTTTGTTTTTGTGGGGCAAATTGAGCCAAGTGACCAACTTTCCCATAGCTGTAAGCAGGTCTTTTGTTGTTCAGTCCCTATACGTTGGACTACTTTGGATGACTTCCTACTTTCTAACTTTTTAGATATTCCCTCCTTTTCTGGGGATTCTTTCTGTCTTCGGATCCTTCTTATGAAGCCATTCCTCCTTTTCAGAGTCTGTTAAATAATCCTCTGCTAGGTTTACTAGTTTTTCCAGTTTCTGGGTGATGTTTTTTAACCCAAAATTCATTGGACTTCTCTCCTAGGTCTGCCAACTGATCCCACAACTCCCTAACCCCTTCCTGGGGACCATAGGAACATTCTCTAAATCTCTGTCTGGATGTGTATTTTGTCATCTTGTAATGATACAATATGACTTCCTTTACTTCCTGGTAGTCCACAGTGTCCCTGGCTGATAAATGTGAATAAGCCTTAAGAGCTGTCCCTGTGAGACTGGGTGCTAATCTGGCATCTCATGCTTGTGCAAGCCATGCGCATACAACTGCCTCCCTTTCAAACATAACAACAACAACAGGATTCTATATCCTTCCCTTCTGTCAATGTTGGAATTTTAATATGCTTTGGGCCATCCCTGTCATGGGGCGGAGTAACTGCTCGGAACCCTGTAAGTGCCTGAATAATTTCTTTAAACTCCGATCAAATTTCGCTTTCTGGTCTCTCACACTCTAACTCATCACTCTGCTTCTTTCCAGTGTCTATTTTCCTCCTGCTGATGCAACATTAGCTATAACATCTTCAGTCATGCTCATAGAGTTCCTCCTTCAACTCTTCTTTGTTTTCCTTTGGCCTAACTGGGGGATTCTCTCCACCTTCGGTCCCTTCCATTCCAGCAGGGATTTCTCATTTCTGGGCTACTTGTTACGTATATGCATGTATGTGGGATCTGGTGTCCAGGTCTGCTCCTAGTGCTTCAATAATTTCCTAAGTAGACCTTGGAGTTCTAGAACCAAATTCCTTTCTCTTCTGCACTAACTTAGATCTCTGCTTCACTCACATCAATGTGTAATGTGTCTGGATCCATTTGCTATCCCACTGCTGCCATCATCTGTTGGAGGTTGGGAATGGATAGGAATTAAGCCAAACACCCACCCACAGTTAACAGTGCTGTTTTTCTTGTTATACAGGATTAGTGCCAAGTGTATTTACAAGTCTTTTGGTGAATAAGTGTTTATGTACAGTATATATAACTTATAATGACCAATCATAAATATGTACACTAATAAAGCTCATTATGCAGTATACTAATAAAACTTAACTAAATGACTTAAATTTCTACTTCTTTAGGTTAAGAGAATCCCTTAACTGCTAGTTTCTGCATCCTCCCACCCTTACTTGCTGTATCTTCAGCACAAACTTAAGAACACTCACACACTTGCCCAGTTACCCAACACCTGAATCGCTTGGAGTTTGCTCTCCACTGTCTAAAGTCCAAGGCTGTGTTTGCTATTCTGCTGGCTCTTTTCTGCAAGTTCTTCTTTGGTTTCCACTGCCTCAGATACCTGGTTCTTCTCCCTGGCTGTGGATCATCTGGCTTCTGCCAGCTGTTGCCTCTTCTGCTCCACACCTCTTCTAGTTGCCTCTCACTCCAGCAGCATCTCCTCCCAAATCTAGAAGAAAGCCCTCTCCTTCTGTCTATCTGCTCTGGTTTCTTTTATAGTTCTTTCTTTTGAAACCTGTGTGCCAGTTTGCAGGCAATTCTAAGGAGTTTAATTTTTTTTCTTTTCCCTGCAACTGCCTGTGTGCCCAAGCTGTGTATCTGATAGACCGCTATGGGGGTGGGGAGTGGTGAGTTAACCTTGATAGTTGCACTTAACACTTTCTTGTTTCAGGGCAGTTCATTTTTTCACAGGATTGGATCCTTTTCAATGGGGCAAAAGTACAGTAAGGTCCCACCTGAGCACCAAACAATAATTACATAGTACTTTTGTCCAATAAAGCTTTAGTGCTTCTGGGATATGCTGTTAAAGTGGAAGGACTATATAACTGCCACTGTTTTTCATGCATTTTGAATGGCAACAGTTTGGGCAACAGAAATGAAGAGTATTGCAAGTCAGCTCAAGATAGTTGCGGGGAGGGGACTGAAGAGTAGAAATAATCACTGTTTGGAGGTTCCTCTTGTGTCAGTGTGACTCTTGTGTCAGTGTGACTAGCTAATGTACACTTTGAATTCCTTCTTCCCCTTTTTTGCCAGTTTAATACTTCTAAGCCCCGTTGATTGTTATGATATAG